CAATAAATAAATAAATAAATAAATAAATAAATAAATAAATAAAGAAAGAAAGAAATAAAGAAATAAATAAATAAATAAATAAATAAATAAATAAAGAAAGAAAGAAAGAAAGAAATAGATTTCTTGCCTTTACTACAGCACAGCCCCCACTGCCTTGCTGATCATCTCACTGTCCCTGACTCATCGGCCAGCGGAGAATAAATAGATCCCATCCCTTCTGTATTTGCACTTTGGATCAACGTTGGAGCTTGTATACACCAAATGAAATACTACAGTTGTAAAAGCTTGGCATGTATCATATATGTTGTCATTAATCTGTACTAGGAGTTTATTGATCTTGTTATGTGCATATTCATTAATATGAATATTAATGCATCCTTGTGAAGGAAATCAAGAAGAGAGCACAGAGTACCTTCAACCACAGATGAGACTCTGAAACTAGTTCCTACTCATGAACCATAAGAAATGCAAATGGCAATACTTGCGCTTTCAACAGATACAAAGAATATATATTTTCTTGATTTTTCTTTCAGTGGCAGGTGGTATTCCAGGGCACTACATTCTTTACCCAGCACCAAATTGTTTAACTAAGGAGAAGGCATATTATTCTGAAAAGTTCAACTAAATGCATGAAGAATTCTTTTCCAGATCATCTTGTGCAACAGGGCAAGGTCTGAGTTGAGTGAGGCAACTTTGGTAGTATAGAGGTGGAGCTGCTATCCCTGTTTATGCATTTAGACTGCTTTGTTCAGGCTGAACATCTGACCAAGGCAGAACTAGGCAGCAGATGGAGGAACATCCATCAGGAAAAGTCCCTTAATTTTAAATAAAGTGCTAGAAAAAGGAGGTCACTGCTGAGACAACCCACTGAGCCAAACATGAAGTCACATACCTTTGTAAAATACTCTGGATATCCTAGTGGAAGAAAAAGAATGGAAGAAATTCAAGTACATGCATCAATCTCCTTTCCATGCATCATAGTAAGAATTCGACAAGTACAAATTCCTCCCTCTCAAAAAGAAAATCATATCTCAACATACCCAAACAACCCATTTCCCCCCCCAAAAAAGGAAACCATTGTGAGATTATTACTTTTCCCATCAGCATTAGCCAGAGAGAGAGAGAGAGAGAACATTTATTTCTATGCTATGCACTTGCATAGTTCTATAATGGCAATCCAAAAAGTTGCACTAATTATGATGTTTCTACTTAAAAATCAATTGTATAGAGGCATGAATCAATAGGTTAAATGGCTCTTTTTTATCGCAATTGCAACTTTCATTATACATGTTTCTTGGAGCACAAGAGGAAACATATTTGGACCTGAAAACTATGTATGATGCTTGTCTGGGAATCCGAATATATGTATATTTGCATAAATGCACAAGAACAAACCTGATACTGTTTAGTCCTTCCTCCTTGCCAGTAGCTGCAGTGGAAGAGCAACCTATACGCTAAAGTTCACTGCAGGGAAGAGTGGACTGGATTTTCTTCCCCCCACCCCCTTTGCTGACTGACAGCATGATCTCACTGACCATAGAAACCAGTTTTGTATCAGGGTCTGCTGGGGAAAAAACATGATTTAAATTTAATTATACACACAGAGTAGCGTGCACATGTGAAATAGGGTGCCATGGTGTGAGTTCTTCTGCTTTTCTGCCAGAAGTATGTTTATTTTGAGGTGAAAGTGAAAAGATATATTGGAATTGACTTCACATGTGTGAACCCTCCTGACAGGAGCAGAGAAACACACCTCGTCCATCCACCAAATCGCCCCCACCAGCTTGCCACCTTGCCCACCTGATCACCACTCCGCAAGCCCAGTCCTCCCAATCCTGATTCCCCGTACCAGCCCAATCATCTCCCCACAAGCCTGATCAACCCCCCATAAACCCACAAGCTCCCTGCCAGCTTGCTACCTTCCTCTCCCACCCATTTACCCTCCAAAAGCCCAAATGCTCCCCATCAGCTCAAAAGTCCCCCCCACCAGCCAGCCTCACTGGAAATCCACTTAATCACCCACCACCAGCCCTATCAC